CGTGCACAATTGTCGTACTTCACTTGTACAAAAAAATTGGTGTGCCAAGGGAATCTCTCCCAGACCACACGTAAAAACTGTTGCACTTCTCTTACATAAACACTTCAAAAAAATTAAAACGTGCCAAGGTTGAGGTACCAGGGCACAAAAAATCAAAAAATGTCTCCGACTGTGGATAAGTAACCCCGTTGGGCGCCACTCTGTAGTATCACCCGTATTGGATAATACGCGGTAAACCAACTTTATACCTTACCCTCGTACGCTCTAGGCTAATGACTGTCTCTAGAATAAATTCAGATTAGCACTGTTAACCTTTGAGGTACGATGGTATGCGTTTTGTCAGTTCTTCGTCCGTTTCCTAAATTGGAATGACTATTAGGACGCCACAACCAGAGCACTGTTCAGTTTGTAATAAACCTCATTGACTATATAGGTGTGTGGGTCTGAGCACTGTTCCAAAATTAAAGGTAAGAACGAAGAAGACTTTGAAATAATAGTCAACTCGGGTTTTTAGGTCGGAAACACTTTTATTATATTAAAACAAACATATAAATGAAACACTTAGCAAATTCAGATTGCCTAGCCCGTACTACGATCGACGTTTCACACGTACAACCGTCGTACCTACGTCCTCGCCGAATCACTCAGCGACAACGGGACTCTCGTGCCTGCGCGTACGGCGGTTTTATATAGTAAAATCTTATTGCTGCCTCAGCACATATATTGCTTCACTGACCTATGTCAATAGTTTACAATTTAAAATGTTCCCACCTCTATTACATATATATTAAATAATAATATCTTGACGACTGTCTACAATATACGACACTACGAAAAAAGAAAATTTTTTTTTAATCTAAATGGATTCCATTGCAGGTTACATATTACTTTTATAAATTGAAAAAATATGGCATATACATTTGTTTACCAATAAATTTATAAAAAAAAAATACAAATCTTTGGCACGGGCAACGTCGAACGGAACAGTTAGGTATAACAATAATCAATATAATTCTTAATTTTGACTAGGCACCTATATTATTGTTTTAAAATATTTAGGGATAATAACTATCAATTATCTAATGAAAAAGTTGGTTCAGATCCATTTTATCTACACCTTATATTTAATAATGTATTTCTCTGGCTAACCACTGACTGTTACTAAGCTGCTAGACTTCCATCACAGTGACCCACAGGCCAATGAATCGACACAAAAATATTTTCATATGCTGCAGCGAACCTTCTTCTGCATCCGAGGCCTATGCACTATGCAGTCGGTACTCATACACGTTGTCTCTGCCGAGAATATCTTGTATAGTCCGATGTCTTTACTCCATAGATACTGGTATCTTGTAACACTAATTTGTGTATATTTATTAGTTATTATATTATTAATTATAAAATATTATAATAGGTAGTCTGTAGTGTGTACCGACCTACTGAATCGTATTGTGTGTGGTTGCTTTTAATGCCATTAATTCAAGTAATGTACATTTTTCGGTTAGTCTATAACAGCACTGAAGGGTAAAGGCCTCTTATTATAATATGATTAGGTAGGTATATGTGCATAGAAATAAAGTACAATATTATACCCTATATACCAACTTATACCAACTTAATGCAATATAACGTCTGTCCAATGTTTCTTTTTATTTGTGAGTTTTGGATCCATATGCATAGGTAAATCATACATATGTTATATACAAAGAATAATTATGTACAAAGTACAACATACAACATTATATTACCGTTTTACATTTAAATAACATTTGAATGCTTCAGATCATCATCATTCATCATTCATCATGGTACACTCTATGTAGGGAATATGACTCTGGAGGATTATCATTTATAGCGATTGTTATTTACATTGTTAAATCCTCCAAATAAACTCTGTATGTATATTAATTATTATATATAATATGTATATATTTACCTACATAGTTTAATAACGAATTTTAAAATGGTAATGAAATTAGCAGCAGGTCACTCGGTTAGCAACATGTTTAGTAGTTATATACCCCCACCGTTCAGCTATACGGGAGTTTTTTTTTTACATGTAGACAAGGAAATGATGGCCAGATTCAGCCAGTTTGTGAACTCAATTGAGCTGGTGTATATAGTCCTCGGAAAATTAGTGTTTCTCGTAAGTATATACAATATTGATTATAATGTTATACAATTTAAATTTTATAAGGATTAGATTTTGTTTTTATTTTATTTTAAAACGATATTTATTTGGAATAATATACACTATAAATTATAATATTGTCTTGTTCAAAATATTTATTTATATTTAAATTACTTGGGTGAAGTAATAAGTTATTAAACTCTACATTTACTCTCAATCAAAATAATTTTTTTTACATTTATTTTCAAATCATAACCAATCCATGAAAAACTGAACTAATTGGTGTATCTATAAAATAGAAAAAAAATGGTAGAAATGTTATTTATATATGACGATAACAAATTATATTTTTGTATGGTTTGTTATTTTAATTTATTATTTTTTTCTATAATTTCATATAATTCTTATGAGCTATTATAATTTGATAGATAAAAATGGAAATACTTTTAAAAAAAATACTTATTTAATTAAATATACTACGATAAGATTTTCGGTATTTGTACTTATAGTTCATTTCAGGTATAGCATTCAATAAAATCGTTCATTTAATTAATTTTATAATACATGAGGTGAAGTTGTGAAATATTTTAAACAACCAATTGGCTAGGTATTCATATTCCTCATACATAATAATGTGGCAATTTCCAATGGGCAATATTAAATGTTTAGTAAGAACCATTTCGATAATAATTAAAATTGTTGATATAACTGTTAGTTATTTTATTATTAGCTAAAATATAGACAAAATATGGATATTTTAATCGTTATTTAATTTTTAATTTTTATTTTAATTAAACTGGTTTATTATTTTATTAGTTTTTATTATTAATATAGACTTATGTAAATAACAGTAACATATCCGAGGGGGAGCAAGGGTCTAAACTCTAAGACCCTCGGAGTCCAGAAATTAACCACTCAAATATTTTTTGTGTATATTAATTCTTATTTTTAAAGAAATTGTATAGGTACCTAATCAAATAATTGAATTATTTATGGTGTAAAAGCTATTTATTTAAAAAATATTCAAGATTCTTAATATTATTTGTATTTGTTGTTCATCGCCCTCTCTCCACCATATCCTCATCTAGGACCCGTCGTTGGTAGATCTGCAAACTTGAAGTAGGTAACCAAAAAAACTTTTTTTACTATTTAAGTGTAAAGTGTAAAGATATTATTATTAGTGAACTAAGCTTGTTTAACTAACTTAATTCCATTGGACTTTCGTGAGAATAGAAATGACCGCATAGGATTATGAGAAAAAATATTATTTTCCAATGGTCCCGTCTAGAGTCCAGACAACTCGCCAAAACGGTTATTTTTTTGTTGCGATTTTGGATTATTATCACCCCAAGTTCCTTAGAAATAGCTAGGAGTGGGTATATAATATGCTCACGACGTTGTCGTGGAAATAACACAGTTTAAATAAATATGCCCAGAAGTAACGATTAATCATTGGTAAGATTAAAATCGTGTATGCTAATCAGTAAGCAAACCGGTTGGTCTGTACATATGACGGTAAATAGTGCCGGGGGAGCTTATACCATGTCCGTCACCTTTCCTCCAGTCGTAATTAGTTGCAATCGTCATGAATGGAACAATTTCTCGAGAGAAGACTTTGGATGGTTGCCAAAAGTAGATTTACTCCAGGTCGATGATCCCCGGCAGAACCGGCTCGTATATATTTTTTATTAATTCATTTCGAGTGTGAAATAATTATGTAAAATAAAAGCAAATTTCCGTTTGTAGGTACTGCAGATATAATAATTATATTATGATGTACCTCGTCTACTTACACGCGTTTTTGGAAAATTTAAATATTGCAAGGATATTCGACTCTGGGCCCCGCCGAAAACACGTATTATATGTTTACTGTACCTATATGTATATATGATAATATACGGTACCCGTATAATATAATATAAATTTCTAGTAACGAGATTCGATTCATTCAATGGTCCTCCCGTTCTCGTAATTGATATTATCCTACCTCAACCCGAAGCGCGTCGTTTTCCACGTGGCTACCTGCCAAAATATTACTTGAATGATACAGAGATGCAGTCTTCCGATACACTAATACTATAGATGAATGGATATTGGATGTGATATTCGCGAGACTGTATTCACTATTAGCTAGGTATCGTCTTGTGTGTCGTTAGTCGTTACTGGATGGTGGGTTATATATGACCTAATAATATAATGGCCTTAGGAGCCTGCAAAGCCTATGCGTTCCAAATAAAAAAAAAAATTAACTGTCATGGTGGCATGAAACATTTTATCGAAACTTTCACGGTAAATATACCTACTTTCAAGCGGCTGAGGATCGCACGAACGAGAGCACGCCGATGGTGCCTAATTTTTAAACAGTAATAAATAATAATGATAATATTCATATAATATATATTAGGTATATGATAATTGACCAGGTATATAATATAGGCAGTATGCCTATATAACAATAAACTGTTTCACGTGTATCGGATCTCAGGATTTATAAAGTACAGAAAATATCGGACACTGAAAATGTGTCAACTGTTCGGAGGTGCTCGCTATTTAGAGGTTTAGGGGCTAGTTAGGGGAGGTTTAACTGTATGTATTATATATTCGTTCGGTGTAGTAGATATACTCACATAGTCACATAGATGATATTATATAAATATTCCTACTGTGATCTGCATTCTGCAGCAGTCTCAGACACACGCGGTAGTTCGGTACACGAAGTACGAACCTCATTAATTATACTATCAAAATATTGTATCCTGATTATGTATTTAATTAATTTTGTATTATTTGTTTTTATTTATCAGGTGTATTTAAGGATAAATCGTTTATTCAAATGAATCCTAGCTCTCTAGATGCCAAAAAAACCGTCATGAATTATTTGCTATACACGTCTGTGTTGGTGTTCGGCGTACGAGCGTCTGCAGTGGGGTCGAACAATAATAATTATACTCTCAGGCGACACAAGGTACGTAGGGTACTACCGTGTAACAACTACCTCCCAATGACGTCATATTTGTATGATAAATAATAATACGTTTACACTTGCCCGTGAACGATGCAATTATTTAACCACAGGTCCACAATATAGTCTTGTACCCGGACAAGCATTCGTGGTGCACGAGCACGCCCATTAAACAAGTCATATCCGACGTCGATTGCGATCCCGTGGAGATTGACAACCTCGTTTGCCTGGGCGCGTGTTTCAGCTATTCCATCCCGAGGGCCGTTCCCGCCAACAACGTCGATGAAGTCAACTCGTATTGCGACTCGTGCCAACCCGTAAACACGATATGGATTCCTGTGAGCATAATGGGAAATATATCATTATTATACGCAGGCACTGAGGCACTAGACTGCTACTGCAGTACTTACTTTCTGTTGATATATAAATTATACCTTTTGATTCAACAATTATTATACGTCGAAATAGGTACTCAAAAATATATTCTGCTTCGAAATTAAAAATGTATTTTGCAAATGATAAAAAACATGTTTGGTATGGCTTCAAATTATATACCAAAAGATTTATAGTTATCAAAATAATGAGTGGCTTACAGTAAAAGAATTACCTATCTATTTTATGCAGAATGTATATCAAATATTGATGTATAGATATACGTCCTTTGGGTGTATACAACATACTGCCTATCCGGAGAGGTGCTAAAATTGTTGATAATAATTACCATTGTCCATATATTTGTATGTATAACTTTTAATTAATGACGACACTACGATTTGAAATGTTCAAATGTCTTAACTAAAAATTAAAGGTCTATAATAGTATGTATAACAACAATATAATTATTATTCAATTATTTTTGAACCATTTTCTAGACCAAAATCAAAAATTTCAAAGCATTAAGCAATAGTGTTGTCGTTGTCTATGTCACAGTCACTTAGTCTATTTCAGAATAACATTAAACATTTTTAAAAATATTTAAAAACCCAATAAAAATGGGCGTTTGGTAGTTGGAGGGGGTGGTTGGCAAAGTCCACGCTCAGTTTTGTCCGGTACATGCAGTGCTTATGCGTTTTAATAATATAGGTACCTTCGAGAGTCGGAAACTTAGGTTACTTTTTATCTGTAAAATTAATAATTATAAATTATGGCCGTAGGTAAAACTGAAGTGCAGTGATGGGTCGAATCACACGAAACGTGTACAGCTGATCAAAGAGTGCCGGTGCTCGTCCTGTAGCCGACACTGGGAACTGGAAAATCCTCCGGCGGACGTCGTGGACGAGGGAACCTCCATACAGACATCGAGGTGAGCTGGTTGGGCGATGGCCGTTTGTTATAATTATATACCGATCAACTCACTGATCAGTGATAGAATGATTCAGATATATGCAACTGATGAAACTTGAACAAAATGATAACTCCGAAAACGAAGAGTCTTCTACGGACGCGGCGTCAAGGTCGGCGGAAGACGTCAGTACATTTATATTATATTATTAGTTATTACTTATTATAGTTATTACCTACTTATTTACCTACGTATTTACGTACAAAGTTGAAAACCCGCTTGTATGCTCGATTTATCATTTATGTATAATTATCGGTGTATCGTTATCACTTGGATTTTTAGGTACTGGACGCTGTCAACTTGACTAGGCTGGCTTACGAGAAAAACATTTGGATCCGAGGTCCGCATCATTCGAAGGTGAGTGTAAAACGAAACAAATATATTTATTTATTTGTTTATTTATTTATTTATTATTTATTATATTGTACTTGTACATATCAAGTAAATAAGTGTCATATATACGTATATATAGTTACCTGTAACGAAATCGGATTTTCAGGTGCTATTAAGAAAAGAAAATATGGTCAGCGCGCCGAACGTTGGGGCCAACGACGATATCACAGCCAACAACGATATCGCAGCCAACGACGATATCGCAGCCAACGACGATATTGCCCAACAATATTTGGGAGAAGACGTCTCCGATAAGAATAATTAACTTTAACACGGATTCTTAACTATTTTATAATATAATATATAATTATACAATTTTTTTTTTTACTATTTGCATCAGTTTTAAATATAATAATATAAAATCACAATTATGTTGAATTTACAATAATATTATACGACGGTCAGGAAAATTCCTGATATAAAGGCAAATTATCACATGGGTGCGCTGCCAATCGATTCGTGTAATTTTTTTAACAACAAGTCCAAATCTATGGCGTTCTGTTTGCACTGGGCGGCCATCTGACCTTCGGGCAATTCTTTCGGTTCGTATTTCAACAAATTTTCGGCTTGTTCCAGATAGGACTTGGATCTCTGCAGTGCGAAAATTAATACATTAAGACTATAATCGTTACCTATATCTATATAATAATTTATTATAAAACACGAGAGTAACAACTGCTCGAACGCGCGTGAAAACTCACCAACAGAGCCTCCATTACGGCATTGGTGTCATGCTGGGATCTCCTGGCGTCTTCCGCCATTACGGCGTGCAACTCGAACATCAGGGCTCCTCGTATTCGGCATTCGGCTACCGAAACAAAAACGATAATAATAAATTAATAATGATAAAAAAACCAATACAACTCCCTCTCGTATACGAATACAACATAATATGTACCTATATAATAGGTACTCAAAACGTTTTTCAAAACTCACCAGGGAACAAAGCGTCCGCTACTTTTAAGACTTTCAGACACAGCTCTCGTTTGTGGCTCAGCTGTTCCGAAGACAACGTGTCCAGCGGCTGGCCTTCCAGCTGCCCGTAGAGTTGGGCCAAGTTCAGGCGGACTTCGGTGAAGTAATAGTGGTTGGGGTGCAAGTCGCCGGCCGACACGTAGTGGTCAAGGAACATCTGACAGTGTTTCGGGTCGCGGCGGTTCATAGCTGCCATATCTCGACCCACGTGGGCCAGCGACAGTTCGATCTGGTTTGGGTCGGCGACAGTGGAACAAAAGTTGCACGTCCATTCGACGTCGAACGGGTCATCGGTAGACGGATGGACGTTCGGCAACGAATATCCCATACAGTCTCTGAAAAAGCGAAGGCGTGTAACACATATTATATTTTGCATGTAAAACGATATAAGCTATATTGCCTATTATTGTACCTATGTACATGGTACATACACAATATTATCGATAATAATAGTAAATTGCCGTATGTATGTAAACAATTTTTTACACATAATTATTTATCATAATTATATGTTTCTAAACATTTATAATATTTTAGTTGTATATAGCACTTATATACAAAAAATTATAAATCTATTTATCTATATTAGTAAACATTAATATTTTCTAAATTGTTTTTGGGAATATTTAACCTTAACGTTCCTCTAAATTTCTAAATCTAATTTTGAAATTCACTTGACACTCGTTCTCGCAAAATCAAAATTACATATCTAGCGGGTATTATAATATATTAACCCAACGTATTTAATATTGGGTTATTTACCTACCAGGCCCCCCACATCAAATGTTGGGCACTTGTACTAAATAGTAAATGTATTTGTGGACTCTATAAAATAAGTATTCCTATCGAAATTTCAAAATTTCAAATATTAAAAATTCATTAAAATGGGCCCCAGTCCAGCCTCTGAACTCCAGGCCCAACCACCCTCCTCTTGAGGGAGCTCTGGTGCATACTATAAAGAAACTAACTCACTCAGTGGCGCACTTGACTCCGCTAAAGTACGTTCCTAGTTCCGTGGGGTCGGAACACCTAGGACACTTGCAGACGAAGAATTTCGTGTCAGCCAGATGGGCGAGCCGCTGTGCGGTGCCCCACAGCACGTCTGTGTACGAGATGGACAGGTGTCCGCCGCTCTCGACAGCTGCGGCCGCGGTCCTGATTAACAGGTGGCCGTCGCGCGTGAACGACTTGGAGCAGTTGGGCACGCAGCTGTGCTCCAGCATCGAGCCCGCGTCGTAGATGGCCACGTACGGTGGATCGGTAAGCGGGACTTCGTGTCCGTTGACCTGCACGATCCCGCACACTCTGAGTATCTCGTCCGCCGGCCATTCTGTCGGGTCTAATTTGAAAAACCTCCGCAAGTGGTCCGCAATCCATATGCGGTCCGTTTCGTACTTGGACCCACCTCGGCGACTGGCGCAGTGCGACTCCAGCTTGGTTAGTTTGGCCCAGACTTCCGGGTTGTTGTGCTTCTGGTACAGGCACCTGATAACCGTGATCGACTGGTAGCTGGGATGCGGGTTCGTGAAGTCTTTGATCTCTATCTACAGAGGGATATGGTGTAAAAATCATCACAATTGTATTTTTATACGCAATAATCATCTATTTACATTTATATAGACAGTCAGACAGAGGCGTATTTAAGGGCTCAGGTCGCACATATCAAGGGGGCGTAAAATCTTAAGATACCTATCGAAAAATAGAAGGTAATCTATCATGATGAAATAGGATTTTTTTAAATTTAAATTTAAAACTTATAAACTAGAACTGTCTATAATGCAGCATAATGCATCTAAACTGACACGTCGTTTTCTTTTTATAACTTACACGTAGGTACAATAAGTAGGTGTGCTATTTTCGTATTGTTTTCTTGTTCCCAACGTTTTATTATGTTATGACACTCCGGCCTAAGTAATTATAGTATGCCTTTTAATCATTACGGCCATTAGTATCCAGTCTACACATCATCGGATTTTTCTACCAACATTGTTACTTGACAGTATCTATAGTTGTAATTTAAAAGATATTATTATATTGTAAAGACTTTAAACATTTAGAAATTAATTAGGTACCTATCCTAATATCCTATCATTTTCTATAGATAATGATATTTTAAAAATATTTGGTCTAATTTTTAACAATTAACCATTTAACTTAGAATGCTTGAATTTGTTATATATTATACTTTATACATATTATACTTTCAATTTAATATTATATTCGGAAACAGAACAAAAAATGTCACTCAATTATATTTTCTTTTTTGTCCAAAAAAACTAATAAAATATTTGAGAAGTCAATTAAAAAGATCATATCGTATTATGTAGGTGGAATGTGCATGTGCTATATTATACAAAATCGTAAAATGTTGTTGAAGAATTTTTTTTCAATTTGCAAAACGGTATATTTCCGTTTTACCTCCGGCGGAATCCACGGGTAAAATAGTGTGCCTTCATCTCTTATTGTCCCTCAGTCCTTAGGGGGGGGGGAGAGCATTGCCCAGACTCTGGGCCTCGAGCATTTTGCTTACATTTGGAGGCCTCGCGTTTGAAAAAAGGTGGTAAAATTGGTTTTCGCCCTGGACTTTGCAAATCCTAAGGACGGCCCTGTCCCTCACTCACCTTCTGTTTTCTCCGCGTCACTGTCCAGTCGCATTCGGCCTTGTGCCATTCGTCGTCCGAACAGTTGCTGTCCGGACACATCGGCCAACCGCACCGTTCGCACCTCACCGCTGAGTCCGCCGTAATCGACTTCAGACATCCCAGACACACAGGCCGTGTGACCTGCGACGGGCCCCGAATAAGCGGCCGTTCGACGAGCGCCACTTGCCAAGCGGCCAAGTCTACATTAGCGGCCACGTACCTGCCGACCGTAGGGTCTTCCGCCACCTGAAAGAGCACGCTCGGCGTTATAGCGCGACGATGTCATATTCGGGTGAAACTAAAATTGTTTTTGGCCGCGCTTGTGCTTATCCCTGATTTTTAGACACTTATCGAGTATACACTTATTATAAGACCACGTAATATTTTTTTTTTAATATTTTCAGATTTTCACGGAATTTCAGCCTCAAGAATAACAGACAACAGTCCAGTGATGACATTTAAGTAGGAACATGGGGCTAGTTGTCACACGGGTTGGTTGTTACTTGTTATACAAATATACAATTCTAACAACTGTAAAACCAAATTGTATCTAGCCATCTAGGCACCTATTTATGGTCGTTATATCGCCTGAGTTTATTTACTTGAGACAACTATAACCGCACGTCGATATTCCATATTAAAAAAAAAAACTAGTTTAGCCTCCCTCAATATTTCAATAGCCCGCTCAAAATCGAAACTTTACACTGATTATCTGGAAACTATAGAATATTATACTAGTCTGAACTCTGAATTTCGCATTGAATATAACGCCGTTTTTGAATTAATCAATCAAGCAAAGATAAATTGAAAAACTTGAGACATTAAACTAGAGACGGCAGTATTTCACAGACGACAAAATGCTTATAAATTGATCTCAAGTAACTATTTGGACGGCGTTTTCTGTTCGGTGTGGTGCCAGATAGGTGACATAGGTATCTACCACGTTTCAAAAAACACAGTTATATTATGAAAAGCGTGTTCTCTTACCTTGATCAATTGTTTAACCATGATGGTTGTCCAGATCGTCGCGTTGTACTGGGAGACGTGCGATCGCGGGGCATATCACGCCGGGTTATACCTATAAATAGAAAGCGTATGGGACGTCGTTATACACGAGAAAATGGTGGCGGGAGAACGTGTATAATATCGTAGGTTTAAAAATAGGATCGATCTAAGAAAAAATTAGATCACAGCGTTGAATGCAATATGATAATGTGCACATCATCTTGGACTTTAGAAATCATCAGTTAGGTATTCTACCGCTTATATAGTTATATACCGCTTACATAATAACCACAACAGTTATTGGCAGAAAAGGCGCCAGAATCTTTTCCACGGAAGGTATACCTCTGTAGGCTATAGCGACTAATAATATTTTTAGGAGTTCAAAACAAATTTTCTACTTTTAAGAGCCCCATTTTTATAACTTACATATACCTGATGATATACCCACGGCGTAGGTCCTACGTATTACAGTATATTTTTGTATAGGAAGTCTGCAGACAAATTATATAACTTATGTTCTAATCAATATTTATTTTTTCAATATCATTTATTGACACGTATCATATAACATTTTAACATAAATATGTTTTTGGGCAGGGTACGGATGTATTTTTTATTCTCTAACCGATTTTGCGTAACGATTTGCTTATCACCATAGAAACGAATAAAATGTAAAAATTATCTAATTCCCACTAGGTATATTGTGGATAATACATAATAAACGATTTATATTTATTTTATTTTATTTATATTAATTTGTTAACTTACATATTTATGATTCATACATTTTCTTCGAAGTGGAAAATACCTAGTACCTACGTTTGTCATTTATTGGTGCCTACTTATTTTTTTATATTAATTTTTTAACACTAAAAATTAAAAATTAAATCTGATTTAAATATTTTTTGAAAATTAGCTAATTTGTTAATCTGGAGTTTACTTTTGACTGTAAAAACATTTATGTAAGTCGAGTGATTTAAATTTTACGATTTTTTAAAATATCAAAACTTATTAATTTAAAACGTTTTGAATAACTTCAACAAGTAGCCATTTAAAAATTCTCATAAAACATTTAAAAAAAAATTAAACATTTTGAATTTAAAATATTTTTTAAGAGGATCAAAAATGATAAGACTTTCAAAAATTTTAAAAAATAAACTATATTACTTAAATAAATGCTTTTAAAATCAAAATTTTTCAAAAAACCTGATTTATACATTTTTCAAACCTAATGTATTAGGTTTAATTTTTTTATTTATAATATCAAAAATAAAAATAAAAAAAAGTGGTGTAATTTTTAAATGTCAAAAGTCTTAGATTTAAGAATAAAAATTTTTATAATTTTCCAAATCAAAATAATTAACACATTTTCGTGATTTTTACGTGTATTGTCAAAACTCGAACTTTAAATGCTTATAAAACAAATTGTGACTGTATATTTAATATTTTTCAAGTGCCATTGTAACGTTATATTAAGAACTTTGTATTAAATGTTCAAGCTATTTGACTCAACGAATGAAATTTTACAGATAATAAATTAGAAATGAGCATTTAAAGTCCAATAATAATTGATATGTAAAAAAATAAGTATGTACCATAATAATATCTGATGACTAGTGGTTGATGTGATAGCAGCAAGGAAGGGTGCGAATGGGTGGGGGATGATCACAACTTCATGTTAAATGTGCCTATCAAGCAGCAACTAGGAATAATAAACTAATAAGTGCTTACCCAACAACAGGAGAAAGGAAGAACATTTTAAGAGGACGTCGCACACTCTATGTTGTCTCCGTCTTACACACGTACGGCATGGCAAAAACGTTTTGGCCCGGGAAAGATTAAATATCAGTTTAATTAACTGAATAGATCTAATAACTAATAGTGCATTAATGGTGCATTTTATTAGTTATTAGATCTATTCAGTTAATTAAACTGATAATTATCTATTTTATTTATATTGTTAATATAAAATTGTAGAGAATTTAAGTGACATTTAAGTGTTTTAAGATGTACAAACAATTTACAATTTTAAAATACTCATAATTCGCTTTAAAATTAAAATAAAAAGCGCATGAGGTTGCCTAGATAATAATCCTAATATTCGATTATATAAGAGGTCGATTCACCCTAATTTTTAAATTAGAGGAGCTACAAGTGTTCTGCTGAGCGTAAAATTTGTCATGGTACGTACTTGTGAGACGGAGACAACACATGCGGTATAGAAACATATTAAGGCTTGAAAATATTACAAGTTTTTCTTGATATTTAAGGCAATTCTAATACAAAGTTTCAAGATTTTTGGTCGGTTATTTAATAATGTAAATATTAATCAAACCTTATATGTTCGTCAACTTACCACAATCTCCCCTACACATTAAATTTCTAACAATAATAATTGGATTTACAATTTTTAACAATTTACCCGGTTTATATAATTATATATTATTTTTAATATTAGTTTACTTAATCAGATAATAGTATAATAAGTACCTATGTATTATTTTTTCATATAAGATTCATAAATTACTACAAAATCATTTTTAGAATCAGAGCACAATGATGAATATATTTATTTTTAAATTTTTTTTTTTGTGTGTAAATTGTACAATGTTTATGATTCATATTACAGAAAATGCTTTGATGTTCAATGAAAGTACGGAACACATGTATGTATGGGTGGCAAGGTATTTGCTCACTACGGTTGCCCATTCGAGAACAAGTGGCAACAGCTATTGCTTACTCTCAATCACGTGATTGACTTCAGTCACTGCACCGTGCCGAGCCACATATGCCTTAAATATAGGTCTCTAAAACTTTTTTTTATCAAATAATTATATACAGTAGAAAGTCATTAATCCATAATAATCCACACTACGTTGTAAGAATTAAACAAAATAACCTATCTAATGAGCCAAGACAAGGTGCATTATTAAAAATTATATTTAGTAAAAAAAAAAAGGTGTATTATAGATTTGAGAAATTCAAACGTTATTTAGCATAGAACATATAATGCACATAGTATTAGGCCCTTCAAAATATAAAATAACTAGTTATTTCGATAATTTTCTGATTATACTAATTATATGTATTATTAAACAGCTGTTCAGATTAAGCCAAGTCCAGATTAATGAAGTTCTACTGTACCTTAATAATTTAAATAAGCTAAAAAAAATAAATTAGGTAAACCAAAAAAATTACTTTTTAATAATGGTGGTACTCTTCAAAGTTTAAATTAAACAAAATATGTACAATTGAAATTATAAAAATATGTGCAATATAAAAACTATATGTTTATTAATCATAGACATTTGACAAGTAAAATAGTTCTTATATAATACAGTTATAGATATACAATATACATAATGTACAAATGTTTAATTTTATATAATATTGTAATGTATTACGTTTCCATAGATTGTTGTTTATTATTTGTAAATAGTCTGGCATATAAATCACCGAATTGAGATATATTTTCAATCATAGTAAGCCTTAGAGAATCCGAGTATGGTTTTGGCACAGAAACAGTCGTTGTGTCCCTCCACATACCACCAATATTATTTCGTAGAAAAAGAGCTGGGGCTGGAATATGATCTCTTGTGTATGTCCAAACGCAATCCCGTAACACTATCAGTATCTATGGTTTCAAACAATATTTTATTCTTTTATGATATCAATGAACATAATAATATTTACTCATAAAAATAGTGAAAATGATTTACTTGTTGTGGTGTGAGTTCTGGAACGATAACACCCAAGACGTCTAATGGTTTAGGTAAAAGCTGACCTAGTGACATAGTGTTTAATAGCTTCACGGTATCATCCAATAATTGTCGATTATCCTTTGACTTTCCCTTAGTATGGTTAACTGCTCCCCAATGATTTATCAAACATGCACAGACTGCTCGTAACAGGACTGAACAGTAGCAAAGTGCCGGGCGATGACCGGCCAATATTCCAAGTATTGTCCAGAGTATTGGTTTAGTAGTGATTGTGTGGTAAATATGAACATCTCTTTCTATAGTTACCTTAAAAGTTTTAAAAAAAAATTTGTTATCAATTATTTCCAACACTACAAATTTTCATTATTTTACTTTTGTAAAATCTTCATCAGGCCAGGGCAAACCATTGTACATTACATCTGGTGATACAAACTGAACAACTAATAGTGCTAAAGATACTACTGTGTCCAATGTTGGTTCAAATGAATAACATTCATCTGACGAATAACAAGAACGTAAAAATGAAACAAGACGCTGTTCATTGAAGCGTACACTTTTAGCATCAAAAACAGGTGTTTTGTATTTTGGATGTAATTCATCTTTATCAAATTTAATACATATTTCTTCTCCGAACATTAAATTGAATTCCTTTACAGTTAAAAAAGAAACAGTATTTATACAATCATTATTCAATTATAAATTTTAACAATTATAATAAATTGTATACCTGTTGAAAGAATGATCCCATTAATGAAGTTTTTTCAAGCGGCTGAATAATATAGTCATTGCGTCGATTATCAGGCATGACAAATAACAATGAAAATGGTTCCTTCAGAACACCATCCAAAATATATTTCATGGCAGCTGTTCTAGCTATTGACGACCGATAACTAACAGTATTGACAAATTTATTCATTCGAAGACATGCTTTCAGCTTGAACATCTCATCTGCAATAAAAATGTATTAAAGTGAACCATAACAAAATATGACAAGAATTTGTAAACAAACCTTTTTCTTTAAATAGACAAGTGAAGAAATATAATACAGCTGCTTTTACACAATATAAAACTTTAGGTACAGACATTTCTTTCATGCATAACTTTGTGGCAATTTTAGATAATATTGATGACAACAAATGAGCAGAATGCATGTCTCCGCTATGACAACATTCAATCATTGATCGACATATCTTGTCCAAATGAGATACTACAGCCAATGAAACACCATATAGTGAAATACCCTCGGGTGGATCAGATTCCAAACTTAAATCAAAGTTAATTATA